ATGAATGATATGTCACCTCGGGAGGTGAACATATCATTCCCAAATGGGTTCAATTTACAACATTAAAAATTCATCTTGATTATCATAGTAAAATTCGAGCAAAAACTAAATATGACCCTAGATGGTCAAAATGATTGTTCAATCAAATATTTAACTACAATAATTTAGATAGAATATCATTAATTTCATAATCAAAATTACAATAATAATGGATATATCTTCCTAAAGGAAGAAGATAACAATCATTATTGATCATTTGAAAATGATGATAATGATCATTGATTTTGATTTTCTCAAAGACAATTAATTGAGTATTGAAATTTTTTTTTTTGAAAAAATTGATCTAGATTTTTAAATCTCCTATGAAAGCAAGCCGTTGTAGTTAATTGTATCATAAAAAACCATAGCTTCTTTCGAATACTCTCAATTAAAATAAGAGTAGAAATTTTATTTTGAATTTTCAAATATTGATTTCAAAGGAGTGAGGAATGGAATTTTCAATAGGGATTAGATTAAAGTAGAACACTTATTTTTGGAGGTCAAAGGAAGAAATATAAGAGGTGTTTTGGGATTATGAAATATTTCAGAAGCATCCCAGTCTATCTTACGTGTTGTGCTTAAATTTTAGATTAAAAGATACTTAATTTGAATAGTCAATTTTATTAGAAGATCGAGATTATAATCCCAGAAGGTTGAGATCTTATAATTTGAACTAGCCTTAGAACCTAAATCCAAATTGGGTATTAAAAATCAATAACCTAAACCTAGTAAATGTAGTACAAATCAGGATTTACCCTAACCTAGATTGGGAGCCAGCTAACCACATAAGCACTTAAAATCCATGTATCCGATCGTTTATGCAAGAGTGGCAGGAATGTTTGATTAAGTTACATTTGAGGAAACGAGGCTGACATCTAGAACAAATCCTAATTTAGCCCCTTAACACATGTTGGGTAATATAAAGCTTAAAGTAAATGCAATTAAATTTTAGACTCATTTAAATTCATATATAATGCAACGCATGCTAGTTAACTCGATGAATGGTTAAAATCAAATATTAACCAGTTTTAAAATCAGTCTTAAAAATAATTTTATCATAGAGATTGCACAACTTTTTTTTAACATGACTACACCATAATAGGTCACGTGGCCTGCTAGAAACCACAGACGGAGAGGTACCTAACAAGGAAGAGAAGTATTCAAATTGTATGCTTGAAACCATTGATTAAAATAAGAGAAGTATTCAAATGGTCACACGGCCTGCACCTTAAAGTTTAAAGATTTTCATGTGAGTATATATCCGAAACTAAATACATGGAGTGTATTTTTAGTAGTAATAGATCTAGTAGAGGGAATTGTCTTTGGGCTATTAAGTCATTACTAAGATACACATTTTAGATATCTCGAGTTTATTGTTCAAAGTGATGGTGAAATAGATGGGGATATTATTAGTAGAATTATAGTCGGATGGTTGAAGTGGAGGAATGCATCAGGCCTATTGTGTTATAGAAAAGCACCCCTCAAACTTAAGAAAAAGTTATAAAAGATGGTGGTGAGATCTGCAATATTTTATGCTATAAAATGTTGTCCATTAAAGGAGAAGCATAAAATTAAGTTTTACAAAGACGAGGATGCTCTGATAGATGAGTGGATTCACCCTTAGAGAGATTGAATATGAAACGAGTATATACTTGAGAAGGTTGAAGTATCTCTAGTAAAAGATAAGATTAGAAAGAATCATCTTAGATTATTTGAGCACATAAAACATTGCCCTTTCGATGACTCGATTTGGAGAGTAGATTTTTTATATTTGACTTATATTAAGAAAAGTAGAGGTAAACCTAAAAAGACCTGGTTAGAAAATATTATAAATGATATTATCTTATTAGATTTAAATCAGAATTTGACCCTTAATATGATAGAATAGAGAAAAATGCTTCAGATAGCGAACCCCATTAACCCCCCATGTAATGGGATAAAGGCTTGATATTGTTATTGTTGTTGTTGTTGTGCTCAAACTTTCCAAAAAATATTATATCATATATTGCGCAAATATCCTGCACACACATAAGACAAAATTTTTATGTGAAAACTCTGAAGAGAGAATATCATGAGGCTTAGCCCAGTTGAAATAGCCTCATAAATGAATTGGTGTTTATAATGATCTATTGTTTTTTCATTAGAAATTATTGTATTACAATGAAAATATTTAGATTGTATGGGATTATCATCAGTAATGGTGGTTCATGGTAGTATTAATGATTGATGATGGGTGTAAGATAATGAGCCATGGAAAATGTCAAAAACTAGTAGTGATAGAAATTGATACATGAGGAGGCATAACCTTAGATGAAGAGTGACGACAAAAAATGGGCATCACCCTCAATTGATGGTGGGCATTAGATCATAAACGTTGATGATCATAGGGTATCAAGCATCAACTGCTATAATCCATTTGTCCTGCTTCTTTTCTTATAAAAAGAGAACACCATGTGGCCAAGGAAGCTAAGGAGAAGTTTAGACTGAGAAACACCATAGATTGTCTATTGGAGGTTCCAAATAGGGTTTGAGGCACGAAATTCTCCCATAAATATTTAATCTTTCTTCCTAAATATGTCTGAATGTATAAAAATATGATACATTTATAAATTTTGAGAGTAACATTTTTATCATTTATATTGAGATCAATCAAATCAGAGAAATAAATTTGGTAGGGGTTGTGAGTGGAGATTGCTATTTTGAAGCTTTTGCTAACGTGAGGCCAATAAATTTGACAGATTAAAAAAATGATAATTAAATGGTTGAAAATTTTTTTGGAACTATTTAGGATCTAATTTTATCTTAATCATTAAACTTTGATGATAGGTGATGAAAATTGTATGAATTTGTTCATCTCAATGAATCCAGTCCAATGTCACCAATAGTTCACAAATAAAAGCCCATAGAATAAGTCACAATTTCATAGCCCATATAAGTTTTTTTTTTTTTTGAATAGCCTATAGACGTTTTAATAGCTTTGAGAAATTTGATTAAGAAATTTTTTCTAGCAAAGTGTGCAAACATAAGCCTAGTGCTGTCAATATTTGACACGACACGAAAATCCGACCCGGACCCGACTCAAAAATTTCGGGTTCGGGTCAACCCGAACCCGAACCGGGTCGGGTTCGGGTTCGAGTTTTCGACCCGTTTGAAAAACCGGGTCGGATTCGGGTTGACCAGTCGAAAGCCCATTCCTATATAAAATTTTTAAATTCATTATTGATGATTTTTTCCAGTCGAAAGCTTGTGCTGATCGGATTAATTTTATGAGTTATACCAAAAAATAATTCCTATTCTCTTACATTTCATATAAATATCCGTTTAATTATCAAGCTGTATATCATTTAGATTTTATTTGAGACATTTTTTAATGCTTTTTCAAAATCACTTTCGATTTCAAAAATTTCTAATAAAATTTATTTTAAGAAACAATAAAAAACTCTCAGTTTCGTTTGGGACGACTTTTTTATGACTTTTTAAAACATAATTTTAGCACAAAATTTTAAAAAATTTAAGTAATTTTTTTTTTTAATTTTTATACTAAAACTCTATATTAAAAAGTAATAAAAAAATCCTCTATGGAATCATATTTCTGTGGTACAATACTCGTGCAAGTGGAGTGTGCATAATGATCATAGTCAGAGTAGATGAGAGCAGTGGTTAATAGATTAGTCGGCTAAATACAATTAATCCCTTCGTTATTGGTTAGATTTTACGACCTGTTTTTGTTGGCAAATTATTACGTCCGGTCACCGGACCTAGAAATAGGTTCAGATATCCTCTAAAAATTTGATGCGTGAAATGTACACGTGTCCATAGAATTTCAAGTCAAGCGCGTCAAAAGCGCAGGTAAAGCGCAGTCAAAGCGCACCCAAAGCGCACAGTCAAAATGCAGTCAACGTGGCAACATTTTAAGGGATGTTCGGACTTATTTTCTAGGTCAGGTGACCGGACGTAATAATTTGCCACTTTTATTTGCAAAAAATGCGATATGGTTGCAAGAAAGGATACTTTGCACTTGCTGCTGCATGAAAAATTTCCCATCAAAACTATAATTTGTGCTCCAACATTTTTTTTTACCCTTAAAGATTTTTAATTAAGAATATATTTTGCTTTTACTGTTTTGCTTTTTAAATTATAATCACAAATTACAAAAAAAAATATTGAATTAAAAATTTGAGATCACTCTCTTATTACTTTTCAGAATGCAATCACAATATTTATTTGAAAAATTTGCACAAAATTTATTTTATACAACACTTTTAAAAATTTACTTTGTCTACAAAAACTTCGTAAAATAATAAGAAAACTATTCCGAAATAAAATCTATGCTCAATGTTCAAAAAGAGCTGATGTTTGAATTGATATTTTGACTAGTAAACATTCAATTTATCTCCTCTCTTAATAATATTAACATTCAATTCATAATTGGATATTTGTTGTCATTTTACTGTCATTTTGCAAAAGCACAACAAAAGGATAGTAAAAGTGCAGTAAATTTGGACAGTTCTTTCTGTACGGTATCCGCACAGCATAATTTCTCAAAATTAAATAAGCCAAGCAAGCTATACCGAGCTGATCAGGAATACAGTAAATCAACTATTATAGAATTGACCTTCTATTAATAGGCCTTAATTCTAAGTGATGTACTACAAGTTGGTTTCTAATCCAGAGATCTCAACCATTATTAGCTATGATAAATTTCTTTCGTATTCACATAATTTAAGTATTTATAATTAATTGTGTGCCTTATATAGCCCATATAAAATATAAGATAGACAGCTTCGTTTGTTACAGTTTTTTTACTGTTTTCTAAAATAATTTTTTGGAACAAAATTTTGTATTAAAAAGTTATTTTATAAAGCAGTATGAAAATTATTCCAAATAAACCTTTAATTCTCTCTCTTTTAAATATTGTCATAAAAAAATGGGTTAAAGTGGCCAACAGAGCACAAAAAATAAGGAATGCCAGGCAACAGAGGTTAAATGAAATGAGTTAATAACAATACAAGGATCAGAAGAATAAGCCTAAGAAGTACAAAATCCTCAGAACAGATAAAAAAATGAAAAAAAATAATAAGTTTTGGGAAATGATAATCTGGTTATGTAACAGGATATGATAAAGACAACAATTACAATTGAAGTGTTTAAAAATAACTGTAAAGCGCAAGCCTTAAAGAATAAGAAAACGGGGCTAGGCTTTCATGTTATTGTCAAGTTAGTTTACCTGAAATTGTCATGGCGTAGAGAAACCTGCAGGTTGCTCGCCCTGTGTGTTTGTAAAAAAGGAACAGCAATCAAAGAAAGTTGAAAATCAGGAATCTCTGAATCGAATAATGAAGTAAAATCATTCTTTAAAATGAAATACAGGCCTTTTATTGCTATAGTAGATATACTCAAAGCTTGCCAATGGAGTCTTGAAGAGAGGTTGAAGTTGAAATTGGTTATTTACCTGAAAGACCATTAATAGCAGAATTTAGTATCAAGTTTACATGCAAGGGGTCGGGTATTTGGAAATTGATGTTCTTACTTGTATGTTTTCCATCATGAAATTGGGCATTTTTGGATGACTTGAAGGTTTCCAGAAAGTCTTTGGCCATTTGGAGCTCATGCTTCTTCCTAGCCTTGTCCCACTTGTGCTCAGAAGCTAAAATCTCAATCACACGGGGTATTGCTCTCCTTGCAGCAGCAGTATCGAGAAAAGCAAGCCGAGATCGCCTGGCGATGAAATCGACAGCAGATTCGCAGTACTCATGCCGAGCACAGTATGCTACCTCAGCCTCCAGGAATGGGTACCCATGGGCAAGCCTCTTGCCTAGATTTTCATTCTAGGAAAGAAGAAAATTAGACTGACAGTGGAATAAGCAAGCAGCTTTCTTCAAACATGTCGAGTAGAATAATGGCTCAATCTTTAGACATGTAAAAGGATGAGGTTATTTGCCAAGAAACCTCTATGTTTTCCCTCTTTAACCTTGGCAATGTCATTTTTTGTTTTCCCTCTACGTTTGCCCTCTTATGTTTTTTATTGTGTTCTCATTCACCAATAAAATCATATAGGCTATAAATCATTTCAGAATTCAAACAATGCTCATATTTCTTATTTATTTTTTGGAAGATTCTATATGATAAAAAGTGTGGTAAAGCTAGAAAGGATAGTGTATTAAATGAGTTTATTAGAAACTGGGAGTAGCACATGCTAAGGACGATTTTATAGAAAATAGACTTGGGGCTTGTTTAGTTGCCTGATATTTGAAAATATGTTTAGAAACACAGTGCAATATATTATAATTATACGATAAGTTTTATGTTGGCTGTCAAAACACAATGAATTTACTATATTCCATCAGTTGATTTTATGTGGTTAAAAATAAATATTAATTATAAAATTTAAACAAATTTAAATTCCCTAAAAATGATGACTTCATTTTTACACAATGAATAAAAATGAGATAATCACTTTCTAATATGCAAGCCGTCAGACAAATATGTTGGTTGGGGAGGATCAATAAAAAAGACATTGTAAGGAATCGAAGAAAATAAAGGAAACTTTACTAGATATTGGGAAATAAGATTGACTAAGTTGAGTTATATACCATATGTTGCACTGACTAGAATTAAATGGAGAAGAAAATTCATATGGTTGGCACACAAATAATTGGGATGAAGCTAATAATGAGCATGGAAGCCTAAAGCGCAAGAAAGTCACTTTTATTTCTTACTCATGACACTTGCTCGGTTTAATAGTTCAACTTCTTGAAAAAATAAATTTAGATCATGCAACAAAAAACTATATTGAAATGAATTGAGCTGTATCAAAATCAAAATATTTTGTGGCCTTCAATGGATGCATGAAATTCTTCAACTCTAGTTTCAATAATAAGAAAAAGGTTAAAATGATTCTTAGACTATTTATCTAGGGTCACTGTAAATTATAATGTATCAAACATAGTTCCTTCACTCATCAAATATGATTTAAAATTGCCCTTCTATTGAATTATTTTGGATTAGATTTGAGAAGTCAAATGATTATTTTGGATTAGATTTGAGAAATGAAAAGACTAAAATGAACACATTAGATAGTCTGAGACTAAAACGGTCCACCATAAATAATTTTGGAACCATTTTAATATTTTTCTCTTATTCTCCTTAAACTATGAACAAATTCAACTAAACTGGTAAGGTAACAGGGCCACTTTCCTACTGTTGATGATTCAAAATTTCAGTATAAGTCAGATATTGCAATTGGAGTGGCAAAGTCAAAAAGCCAAACCTGAGCAATCAGAGCCACTCTTTCCGCTGAAGTGCCGTATGCATGTGACAAATGTTTAGAGATTGCACTGTCCATAATGCCAGGAATAACTTTACCGCCATGTGTTTTTTTCATGCGTGTATAGTATTGAGCAAGTGTGGTGAACGATGCTGGCTCCCATCCATCTCCTCCAACAATACAGAGATTTTCAGTCACACAGCCATTGCTGGGACTCAGCTTGCCAGATCTAACTGCTGCATTAACTGCATCTTCAGCCATGCTGCACAATCAAACATCAACCCCTGAGAAGGACCAAAAGTTCCAATAGATAGAGAGATATAGAATGACTACTATCTAATACAAAACTTGAAACCATCAAATGGATAGATCTTTTTTTATAGAAACAACTACAGCAACACTTGGATCTCAAATCAAATACAGGATTACTTGAGGGGCCTTCTGGATATCATCCATGAGTTTAATTCTTGGCCAAAATAAGATTTTTTGGGTCAAATATATGGTCGTCATCCAAGACATTAAATAGCATAAAATTTTTTGTTCAAACAATAAAACAAAACTGATAATTGAGCTGCCCTCACAATAACATTGAAACGCACAAAATAAAATTGGGGAAAAAAATAACGATAATGAATTTATTGATGAAAGAAAAAGATAAGCTTGCTAAGCAAGAGAATCTTCGAAAAACACCTATCTCAGAGCATAGATTTGAGAAATTATCACATAGATCGGCATGTTTTTTATTAGAATGAATCAAAATCAACCTATTTTTTTTACTTGCAGTTGATCAAGATAAATAGTCTTATTGCGATATATGTAGGGGAGTACAAACAATTTGAAATAGCACTAGTCAACATATTTTGGATTAAGCTGAGAAGAATTTATGGGGACATTGTCAGATGTTACTATCATCTAGAACAAGAATAAATATGTGTGCAATTGAAAGCCATTAAACTTGCTTTGTGGATAAGCCCAACGTGAAAAGAGATTTATTACAAGGGTCTTCACTCTCTATAAATGCCCCACCCTAACTCCTGTATTAGTAAGCTTTTCATGCACTAAATATTCCATATCTTCGCCCTGGAAAGTAGCATCCCTAAACACAATCAATCCAAAAAGTAAGGTTTAGCTTTCCGCAAGATTGTAGGCCCATGAGAAAATCCTTCATCTCACCGAACCATGTGAAGTACCTAGATCTGGCTAAACCAAAAGGATCTTGATAGGAAATACTTGTAGATCTCAAGTATTTCCTAACAAATAGAGGCATAAGCAGCAGGAAACAACACAAAATCTGAGGGAAATCTCAATAAAACAGTAATTTTATATCAAGGATAGATCTAAATGAGTGACGAAAGCAAGATACAATTGATCCTCAATTCGACAGGAGGATCATTCTCTCCCAATCTCTAGACAAAGCTAGAGCCCAAGGCACCAAGGAACAAGACTCTGAAATTCGCAACCAAACAAAGCATAACCCTCACCCTAAACAACCCATGTTATTTAATACATTAATTCCATAATTTAAATTCTTAATTCAAATTTTCCCTCTCATGCCTAGCCGCCCCCCTCTCTTTCCCTAATTGGCTCCTGTGGTGCCCACTAGCTTGGGCGGAAAAATCAAAGGGGGTGGCTTTTGTCCGCCTCTTGTAAAGGCCTTCTAGGCCAGTTCTTAAGCCGGCCTAACAATACCACACTCTCCCAAAGAACCACCTTGCTTTCAAGGTGAAAGGAGGGAAACTGATGCTTCACCCTCTCATAAGGCTCTAATGATGTCACATAAACTAGAAGATCCTTCCACGGGATCAACACTCCCTCCCTCTCCCTAGCGCACCCCTTGTAACTCAAAGGATTCCAACATCACCTCCAAGTCCTCTGTTAATGTCACTAGTAGCTCAGAACTAGCTGCATGCTCTCTAATCGCCCTCCTAGGTTTTGAGACAAGAAAAACATGATGTATGGTTACTGTGGATGGCAATTTCACCTTATATTCTACTTTTCCAATCTTATCCAGTACTTCAAATGACCCAAAATATCTTGGTTTAAGCTTCTCGTTTCTCCTGTTGGCGATGGTTTTCAGCCTGTAAGGTCGGAGCTTTAAGAACACCCTTTCCCCTATCTCAAATTGGATGTCCTTCCGATGTCCATTAGCCTATTTCTTCATAATTTGCTAGGCCCTCAGTAAATGCCTCTTCAGTTCTTCCAGCACCCAGTCTTGCTCCTCTAGATACTCCTCTACTGATGACAATGATGTGCTCATATGCCCAAAATGCACCAAATAAAGAGAGTCCCTTCTATACAACACATTGAATGGAGTCATTTGAGAAGCATAATGATAAGAGGAGATGTACTAATACTCAACCCATGCTAGCCACTTGGCCTATAACTTAAGTGTCTCCAATACAAAGCATCTTAGGTAAGTTTCTAAGATCCTGTTGACCACTTTTGTTTGGCCTTCCGTCTGTGGGTGGTAGGCAGTTCTCCTCTTCAATATTATCCCCTATAGTCTGAACAGCTCCCTCCAGAAATGATTGAGGAACACCTTATTTTTGTTGGATACTATAACCTCTGGACTCCATGCAGTCTGACTACCTCTCGATGAAAGCTGATGCCACTGTCACTACGGTGCATGGAATTCATAGGGGAATGAAATGAGCATACTTACTCAATCGGTCCACCACCACCAGGATCATTGTGAACCCTTCTGATCGAGGTAGCCCAGCTATGAAATCCATGAATACCTCCTCCCACACCTGTCCTGGTAATGCTAGCGGCTGTAGTAATCCTCCTGGAGATATGACCATGTACTTATTCCTCTGACAGATCTTAGATTTGGCTACCATCACTTCCACATCCTTATGCATCCCCTACTAGTACAGCTCTGAAGCTAGTCTCATGTATGTCTTCTACACCCCTGAGTGACCCCCAACAATGCTCCCATGGAACTCCTAGAGCAAATGTGGAATGTGGACTGATGTCCTAGGCATAAAAAACCTTCCTCGATACAAAAGTCTCTACCCCTCCAAAGAATATCCTGAGTGGCTACTCCCTTCAGTAAATCAGCCATAATCTTTCTCAAATCCTCATCCCGGGCACTCTCCTCCTTGATGGCCTCCCAATCTAACATCAACGGGAACAACACTGTTGTCGCCTACAACCCCCCCATACATCTGGACAAAGCACCTGCCATCTTGTTCTCCACTTTTGGCTTGTATTGGATTTCAAAATCATAGCCCAACAATTTGGACAACCACATGTGATGCTCCTCTGTCACCATCCGCTGCTCCAATAAATACTTCAGGCTCCGTTGGTCCGTTCTGACAATGAAATGCCTACCTAATAAGTAGGGCCGCCAATTCTAGATGGCTAATACAATGACTATCAACTCCCGCTTATAAACATATTTTAGCCTGGCTGTAGCTATCAACACCTGAATGAAATAGGAAATAGGTCGATGATTCTACATGAGCACTACCCCTAATCCATATCTTGAAGCATCTGTCTCCACCATGAAGACCTGGGTGAAGTCCAATAGTGCTAAGATTGGTACAGTAGTAATAATCTTCTTTAAGCTCTCAAAGGATGATGTGACTGTCTCCCCCCATATGAAACAATCCTTCTTCAACTGCTCTGCTACTGGTCAAGCTATGGTGCTGTACCCCTTCACGAACCTCATGTAGTATCATGTTAGTCATAGGAATCCTCTCAACTCCTTCATATTCTTAGGGATTGGCCATCTCAACATAGCTTTAATTTTTGATTGATTTGCTGCCACCCTCTATTTAGATATAATATGGCCAAATACTCCACACTGGCTGCGCAAAATAACATTTCTTCAGGTTGACCCTCAATTGGTGCTCATGCAACACCTCTAACACCCTCCTTAAGTGTTCCCAGTGCTCCTCCTCCATCATGCTATAAACTAGGATATCGTCAAAGAAAACCAAGACAAATCACCTGAGATAGGATCTGAAGACCTTGTTCATGAGCGACTCAAATGTGGTTGGAGCATAAATAAGGCCAAAAGGCATTACTAGGAACTCATAATGTCCCTCATGAGTTCTAAAAGCAGTCTTGGGCATATCTTCCTTCTTCATTCTGATCTGGTGATATCCTGACTTCATATCTATTTTGGTGAAAATTGCTGCCCCACTCAACTCATCTAATAGCTCATCTATCACTGATATAGGAAACTTGTCTGGCATAGTCTCCTTATTAAGTGCCTTGTAGTCCATACAAATATTCCAGCTGCCATCTTTTTTCTTAACCAGTAATGCTGGTCTAGAAAAAGGACTAACATTGGACCTGATAATTCCTGTCTTCAGCATTTCTCTGATCAGCTTCTCAATCTCATCCTTCTGAAATTGAAGATAACAATAAGGTTTGACGCTGTTGGGAGACACACCTCTCAAGGTGATAGCATGCTCCTGCTCCCTCAATGGTAAAAATTCTTGTGGCTGAAAAACCTCATGGAATTACTGAATCAACGACTGTACTAAGAGAAGTATGTCCCCTCCCTCTAACCTAACCCCCCAATCCTGTGCAGCTCCACCAGAAAGCCCTCCCCCACCTCTTGTACACTTCTCACCATGGTTCTGAGAGATACCAAGGCTTTGGATAGCCCTGCATCTCCCCTTATTACTATCTTTCTCCCATCCATCATCAACTCCATCGTGAGTGCTCCCCAATTGACCTTGGTGTTCCCTAAGGTCTGCAACCACTTCATCCCAAGAATGACATCACTACTTCCTAACTCTAGCGGGAGAAAATCCTCCCTCACCTAAATTCCCTAAATGGTCAACACCACTCCTCTGCGGATCCCCTGGCCTTTCTCCACCTTCCCCATACCCATCATCACCCTATAACAGCCTGTGTCCACTAATTTCACTCCCAGTTGGTCGATGACCTATGTGGAAATGAAATTGTGGGTAGCCCCACAGTCAATCAACACCACCACCTCCATATATACTATTTTTTCTTTCACTTTCATGGTATGATTCGGTGTGAATCCTACCACTGATTTCAGAGATACCTCTGCCACATCCAAGTGCAACTTGTCCTCCATCTCTCCCTCTACCTCTCCCTTAACTTCCTTAGTTTTCTTGTTATCATAGACGGTGAGAACCTGAAGAGTTCGATCCTTACACCTATGCCCTGGAGTATACTTCTCATCACACCTTAGTATACTTCTCCTCAGTTTTTTTATGGCGGTTTTAGGGGGGAATCAAAGGGAAAGCTTAAAGAAGAGAAAGGGTAAGATCTAAACCTAGAAAACTTTTTTTTTTCTCCAAGATTTTTCATGATTAAAATTTAGGGTTTTATTCAAAACTTGAAATATTTCAAAGAAAATGATAGGGAAGGATTGAAATATAATTCTAACCATGAAAATGTAATTTTTCCACAAGAAAATTTTTAGGTTTCCAAATTATGATTTTAAGAAAACTTAAATTTTCTTTAGAGAAAGTATTAGGGAAGATCTCAAATTGATTTTATGCATGAAATTGGACATTTTCCCTAAGATTTTAAGTTTAAAAAATTAGGGCTTTTCCAACATTTGATTTCTTTGAAAATGTTTTCATAAATGAGGTTATAAATTACTCTAGGAATGATTTTATGGAAAAAAAAAATTTAGGGTTTGGTGAAATTGTCATTTTCATAAATTTTCATTTAAAGAAATTCGAAAATAATTATATCCTAATTATGGATTAGGTATAGGAGAGGTTGTAACATGCAAAGGTAATGAAATTTATGAAAATATTATTTCCAAAAATTTAGGTTTTAGGTATTCGAAAATCAAATTTAAATTAATTTTAATTGAGGAAATGATATCATGAAAATACATTAGGTTGTGGATTATTAATAAAGTGATTAACAATTATGCCTTGATTAATTATCAATTCTCTCATAATTTATGTTAATGAACATTATGTACGTTAATGACCTTAATGAAAACGAATGAAAAAAAAAGAATTTATGTTAAGATTAATATTTAATAATAAAAGTCACATTGTTTATAAGATTTCGAAGTGGGAGAAGAAGAGCATTTTTAGGAGAACGGTAAATTGCACACATCCGTTAAGTAAGTACAATTAATCCTTCCAAGTTCAATGTTTCTTTATTCTCTAAAGTGTTAAATATTAGTTCTTTACTTAATGTTCATTTATGCTCATGCTCTTTTAGAATTAAATGTTACATGTGGGCTTTAGGCATTGGTTAGAATACTCAAAAAAGTTTCACAATCTACATTATATGAACCTGCATGTAACCTTGCCTAAATTGTTGATAAATTGCATAAATTTTTGACGATTAAAAGCATTATGAATTATGTGTATATTAGTTACTTAACTTATTATTATCGCATGTGTGAATGTGCATGTTGAGGCAGAATACCAATATGGTGCCTTGGCACAATAGAGTTCTTTGAAACAATATGGCTCTTCGGGGCAAGAGGACTCTTCAGAGCAAAATGATAATGTATGATCAATATGAAATTATACCTAATCAGTACAATATGGATACTCCGGTATGGATGTATAACATATGCATATGATAAATGTATATGAATATATGATACAAAAGACATCATATAAGGGTATGAAATGAAATAAATGTGGTAAGGATATGATACTTAGCATGTGACATTGACATATACATAACATATGACATTGACATATAAGAGCATAGGACATATAGATAGCAATATAGGAAACTATACAGATAAATACATTACTACTCTTGCATGCAAATACGCTGCTCACTTCTTTAAGCCCAAGTTGTGTAGTTCACATTCAACATACATATTGGTTTCTTTTCATTGTATTTGAGTTTGGTAGGAGTAATTGTTAATTGCTGAGCGTAATTAGCTCATTCCCTAGTTTTGGGATAATTTTTAAGAGATTCTGATGTTAGGTGATGGCTTAACGACCGAGGTTTACATACAGCCGTAGAGAAGTACCGGAGGTCAGGTTCCTTGTGTTTTTTTTAGTTTGATGTGAATTTTTTTGTGGTGGATGTTTACATGTTGATGTTTTTAAATCGATATTTGTAAATCTTTTGATTTATATAAGAAAAGTTTTGAAATAATTGAAAGTTTTAGTGGCGCTTGATCATATATTGAATTGATTTAAATTTTAGATGTTTTATGTTATAGTATTATTGAAGATATGTTTTAAATTTTATGTCCGACATCCGTTTCCGCCTCGTCTATATGAGCTCACCGGGTCAGTTCGTGACAAATACAAATAAATTTCATAGTAGAAAGATCCACAAATAAGAGCACAAAATGACTCTCATTTGGTTTCTTTGGATTGATAGAAATGATGCTAAGCATAGAAATATTCCTATGAATCATCATCGTATAATTGCTAGAACCAAAGAGAAAATAAATAGCTTATATAAAGTTAATCTTATCAATCAAAAACAGTTTCGTGGTTTTAAATTTGTTACTCATAAGCTTAACAATAATATTTTTGAAGACATGTAAATCGGATTAGCACTCTAATTGCATCAAATCATAACCTGCCCATTGACAGGCCTAGAAACAATGACATCACCTAAGCAACTGACAAATAGCAGCCACAATATCATAAAATGTATGAACCTATCATATCAACAGCATCAGTCAACGTTAAAGGGTAGAAAACAAACACCTCTGCAAGCAATAAAAGAGCTATGTCTGAGCACATCTTACATACATATTTTGAGATTTTATGCTAATCGACCATCAATTGATCGTGAACGGGAAGGCAATTCCCACTTTTCATCACAATCTAAAAAAAAGGGAAGAGGAGGCTAAAGCAAGGATTGCAAACTGAAATTACTCTGTACATCACAACACTTGCAGATATATCAAAGATGCTGCTATCCAATCCTCCACAATGATGAGTCCAGTGAAACCGGAAAATTGCCTAGTTTTGCAACGAAAGTATCCCGTTTTCCCATGAATGCCCTTGGAAAGCTATGGATTCTACAAAGAGCTACTGATACTCTATCGTCTCCATATTCTTCCATTTTTACTTAATCTAACAATGATATAACCAAACATAAGGATGTACCACAGATCCTGTAACTTCTACTTGAATCATGCCTCTTCTAAACTACCTACAAGGGCTAGATGAGGCAGAAGCAAGGGGCACAAATACCCAATACATGACAATACTTTTGAATATATAAGCCAATATTACATTTCCTATATGATCTTATCAAGCATATAAAAGGAACTTGGGAAGCTTGGAAAAAAATATAGAGCCTTTGGATAAGTGAAAAAGAGATTTTCCAGATATTAAAGCTAGGGGTATGCATTTGATTAGTTGGTTGACAAATTAGCTATAAATCAATTAGTTTCGACTGTCCAAATTAACCCAAGTAAACTTTAGCTTGGTTAGTTCGTTTAAATTTTGAATGAAACAAATTGTAATCAACTTAATATTGAATCAAATTATCTTAACATAAATACCATATATTAAGTTTAATATCAAATAGTCTTTGTTAAAATTTATAAGCATATGAAATAAATAATATTAAGGTTGATCTTTATGTCATTTATCTATATAAATTTATCGATTCCATATTTAGAAAAATTAATATAATTTGATTGTTTGTTCAATCGATTTTGTAAGAGCAAAATTCGATCTAATAACAAAAAATTAAAGAAAGTCAAAATTATAATCAATAGCTAAGCGAATATTTTAGCAACCAAATCAAATCAATCAAAGAAGATTAATTTAGTTCGGCTCTTTGATTCTATCCAAACAATGCACACCTCTAAATGTGACCAGCAGCTATGAAGTGTCTCTAATTTGAATTCCATTAAAAAAATGTAATAAGCGAGTCTCGAAATAAACAGCAACCACATCCGTGGAGATTAGTCATGTGCATGTGATTCCCACTATTTGGCAATTATCATGTCAAGTTAGGTTGAAATAGCTTTTGCGAGTTGTTTAACTAAGCATAAATGCTTTCTTAGGAGTTTCTAGTCTCATATTTACCATATCCTGTACTACAAAGCACAAATCAAATTTTTCCAAGAAGAAATTCAAAAGATACTCCAAAGAATATTTAACTAAAATTGGCCAACTCCAAAGCAATCCCCAGGATAAGCCTGCTATGCGGTTGTTAAGCATAACTGTCCAAACTACTTTAGAGGAAAACCCAGGACATCACTCATCCATCTCTAGCATAGTTTTGTCTACATCATGATTAAATCTGTATCTGTGCTTCCTAACTACCTAACCTTTGTCTCTGCCCTTAAGCCAGTTAATGCCCATGAGGACTGATAGTTTTGCCAACTACCCTATATAGCCAACGCCTCACATATAACCTGCTCAAAGGTCATCAAAAGAACATTTAGGAAGGACAAGCCTTAAGCCATGATAGTGCGATAGATATTAAGCATCTTGAGATTAACACAAAACAGCAATGTAAAATATAACTTACATTTTCAAATATACACTTAATTACCTTTCACTTTAACATGACATTGTGACAAATCATGTAAACAAGCATGATGCGACGACAAAAATAAGTACTGCAGTTTATATAAAAAGCATGGAGGAAAATGAGATGGAACTAGATTCGCCAATCAATGCAGTGTTAGCAAATTTCACAAAGTAACTTCCTCTATGCAAGCGTTATACATTAGAAATGGCTGATGACTAAATCATACCTTCTATAAGTTGTCCATTTTCCTCCTGTGATAGTAATTAAACCAGGATGATCCTCATGGACGACATGATCTCTAGATAAACTCTCAGTGTTCTTTGCTGATGGGTCCATGGCTAAGGGTCGGATACCACTCCAAGCTGAAAGGACATCAGTACGCCTAACCTAATATCACACAAAGAGATGGGTCATAAGCTTAACCTGCTAAAGAAGTACAGTTCAGTTTTTTTTTTTTTTTAATTAATTAATTAATTTATATAAAGCGCACAAATATAACTCATACGATTCAATATCATGTCAGCTAAGTTCCCCAGACAAAAATTACTTATGTGGGAATATTAAAAAAAAATTGAATAACATTTCAGTGGTAAAAACTTTTGCGAGGATTCAAACCTCAGACGTCACATTAAAGATCAAAAGCAATATCACTCAATCAAGTAGTTGGTGGTAATATTGGTATTGATTTAGCAAGACCATGTGAACAAAAAATATGAATTGACTATATACGTAGTGTACTACTATTTTATCTACAAAAAATCCAATCTACACTCCTTAGTTTTAATGGGAAAATATTCAAATATAACATCAATGAGTGATATTAAACTATAATGGAAGAGCAACACATTTTCTAAAAAAATTCCTTTCACCACTTTCAAATTCAAACAATTGAAATTGCTTTAAGTATTATTCATGCTCATAAAATTACCTTTGATTTAATACTCACCCAAATAGAGAAATACAATACGGAGGCATGCCTAATGGGTGAACATTTCTGGTGTACGATATCACAGAGATCATTGTCCTTTGTAAACCATTGACTAGAGCATCAAAAATTGGCTCATAAAACATTCATCTTACTATCTAGATCATTCATTGTAGCACTAAGTCGTATGCTTGATGCATGAACTTCATTTGGTGATTTTGTGTTGACCACCAGCCAATTATATAGGCCACGCCCACACTCACATAAACAATAGACAACCACCAAGCTATAGGACTTGATGCATAAAATTATATAATGTAAACCCACATGCATAGAGGCACAACCCACATTGGTTTACCTATAAATTCTCTAAAGTTAATAATTTATTTCTATAATTCTTCAGATCATCAAGAAGTAAACAATTTATTTGCAAGTCCTATGATTCTTTTGATCAACAAGGTATAAAGAGATTTAATGGCTTCTCCCAAAACAATAGTTGAATGCTACCAGGAACGACAAAGGCATCCATCGTCCAGAAGAGAGGCAATAGGAATTAGCACAAAGGTAATGTTTGGAAGGCTACTTTTAGAACTCCTAATTATGATATAATGCATTAAGAAAAAAAAATCAGTCTAACATTTTAGTAGAAACAAATTTTCACTTAAGTCATTCATATAAGTGAAAATGGAAACAAAAAATCATTTAATATAAATAACGCACAAGGACATTGTGATAATGAATGAGGTGCACAAAGAAATGAAAGAATCAAGCATAAGAGGAGAAATAGTAAGGTAGAGAGAAAAAAAGGGTAAGGAAGTTGGACTATTAAATGGCTCAAGATGAGGGAGGCAATGAGTAGAGACAAAACTAGCAAGTAGATGTTGACCTCATGAGCCCATGTGACTCATGTTTGACTATAATCAAATCTGATGTGGTGTCATCTAATAATTTGCTAGGTGTCTTCCTATAAACTAATTATTTTGTACTCATCAGGATCGAGATATTTTTCACTAGTCATAAGGAGGAGTTCAAGTGAAGATTCTAGACTCTAAAACCATAGTGTAACTTAGAATATGAGCTTATTAGATTTAATTGTAAATTGTTTAAGTTAGATTTACCAAAGATCCAAGGATAATGAATATGTTATTTATAACAGTGCAATACTTTTATTGTAAGACAGAAAAAAAATATTTGAAGTAATTATATTTATACAATTAAAGAAATACTTTGCAAAATCATTTAGAACTATTTCATGGATAATTATATGTGTATATGCATTTGTAAGTTTAGATTTCCCTTGCATTTTTTATTATGAAAGATCATACATATGATCTGTGAATCATATACATGTTGAAGTATCATGAGTATGCTAGCACGTAGCTAAATTGTTGTATTTTAAACGTAAGGCCTTGTATCCTTACAAGATACATATTGATGCACATTTTTGACTGGCATGGTTATAAAGATTGATAATATATGTATTAAAAAGTTAAAAAAAAAATGCAATGAGCTTAATAAATGCCACGTTATTTGGAATATATGACAATGACACTTATATAAGTTGGGTGACAAAGTGAAGCCCATATACAAGAAAAAGATCCTCAAGTAGTTCAAAAGTGATAATGCTGAATTTCAATAGGCTCTATTGAACTTTATGATGAAGCCTTTTGGTTGGGTTTCTACCCCGTGATACATGGTGTGGATCAGTCACAGTCCGTTATCTTATGATGGCCAATAAATCTAGACATTCGTATATGACATATTCTAAGACTAAAATAGAATATTCAATGTTAAGAAATAAATGAAATAAGCTCATATATTGTTTTGATTAGTTAATTATGATGATACTTGTACAATTTGATAGCATAGTACATTTGAGGATTGGTTGCTTAATATTTCTTTTAAGGATTTCCTATAATATGAATATCTTAGTTACAATTATGCCATGCGATTTTTCAAGAGATTTCTCTTTATAATAATTATTATGTAATACACTAGACTAGTATATGACTACTTTTAATTCTAACACCAACTTCATAATTAGCATATCATGCGGTATTAAACTAATTATCTTGCTGAGCATTATGACTCAATAGATATTATTATAGCTATTGTTTCAGGTAGAGTGAAAGAGAAGATTGAGCCTGAATGAGTATAAGGTTTTAAATCAACTACCCTATGTTTTGATGCTTAGTTTGGATTATAAGATAAGGGGCAAAATAGGGTAATACATATGATATAAGTTTATTGTTATTAATATAACTTTAATGTTTCTTAAATAAGGTTGTCAATCAACTACCCTATGTTTTGATACTTAGTTTAGATTATAAGATAAGGGGCAAAACAACATAATTTATATGATATAAGTTTATTGTTATTAATATAACTTTGATGTTTCTTAAAAGCTCAATAGTTAAACGAATAAATTGTATTGAAATGCTATCGCAAAATTGACTTATATTAATTATTGGATCTAAGTGATTTAGAAATTGTATTGTTTGATATGTTTGTGTCCTTCATATGATTGACTAGATCATTCATTCTATTATGATGTTTAAAGTTCTAAAATGAATGTTGATGGTAGATTCAATTGGATGGGTGGGTCATACCCATCTCTGTAAAGCCTTATGTTCGACCACTAGTATAGATTAAGTCTTTAAACAAGGCCCAAGTTTGAAAGTCACCATTAGTTGAGCTAGGCAACTTTATTTGATGGTTGGTTGGCATCAGCCTAAGCCTTACCATAATGGTTAGATCATGAACAAAATCAAAACCTAAGGTCCTATTGATTCCCATGCTAGTTTGAAACAAGGTTACGTGTTTGTCTTTCTGCTAGTTGTCCTTTCAATAAGTTTTAAGCAATTCATGTTTAAATATATGGTTGATAGGCTATATATGCACAAATCAATATTCAAACAGTTAACTTAATGGCTCTATGTTGACCTCCGTATCAAAATCATAGTTGATGTGCGCAAGTGCGAAGGGAAATGACGGTCGAAAAATATGACGTTGCACATAACAAACATCAATGCATCTTAATCATGATCACAAACACCCAAACTTCATATGATTGCAAAACAAATCGCACTGATGTATTCAGGACATCCAATTTATCAAAGAGGAGCCGCTCGCGCACGATTTGATTGAACAACGACAAAAGCACGATGGTTGGCAGACGCGACACCACACAAAGTTGCCCAAACCATATCTAATCACAAACAGGCTAAATCGACAATCGAAAATGATGAACTACGAGCGTGCCATTGCGTGAGACCATCTGAACGATGTTTGCTCGCAAAACGAAATTCATCGAAACCACATATTTGGAATCTTATAGAACATGGTATTTCAAATGTGTTCAAAATCACATTAATTTGGTACATGGTAAGGACAATGCTATAAACAATACAAACATGCATAAGTATGCTCATGCATATTGATGCAAACACATATGTGAAGGAAAGCACAAACATAGTTAAACTTGCTTCAAAATATCACTCAATATAATGAGGAATTCTCAGAATATCCATGATAATGAGAGTAATTTTAACATTATTTTTTTCAGCTCGATTGGGTTACAGTTTGAGTCAAGCCGCAGACATCCATGTCAATTTTAGATTATTCTCAAGGGATGGATGAAAATAAGAAAAAGACAAATATACTTCATAATTTACCAAAAGAAAGCATTGAAGAAAAAATATTGGCCTAAATAGTTTCATGCAAAAGAATCATCTACCTGAACATTCAGGTAATCACTGATGGCATCCAGAATAAATCGTATTTCATCTTCATGAGGTTCAGGGTACATGGTAATGACAGTGCTGGAATCTGTGGTTCCTGCAACTGTTCTTCCCAACCAAGGAAGCATGAATACAACACGACCATCTTTTGTCTTGGGAACAATTAGACCCATCCCTTCAGGAGAATAATAGTCAGGAAGAACGATGTGCACACCGCTACTTGGAGAAATCATGTTTGGTGCCTCTTTGTTAGCCATGCGCCTTATTGAGTCACAAAATGGTCCAGCAGCATTTACAACTACTTTTGCATAAGTGTCAAACTCTTTTCCTGATACATTTTGACAGTAATTAAGATGCATAACATGGAAGAAGCACAAAAAATTATCATAAGCTATTTCCAGATATGCAAAGAACATGATCAGGGTGAATGATCAACAAGTGTTAATATAGAGCGTTCTGCATGCAACACTTTGCACAATATATACTTCAAAAGAAAAAAGGTTATAGCTATTCACTGATATTAGATAAACTGTGACAGGAAAAAATTGTTATAGAATGCTGATTGTGCAGGTTAATTTTACCAGAAACTTGGATCTCACTTTAAAGAGTGTAACATCATACGCATAAAATAAACCAATTGGCATAATGCATGCGTTACCAGAGCACTTCAGTCCATCATCTGTATATTGTATTAAACACATTAAACTTGAGCAGTGGCTGCTAAAACAACCGTTTGCAGTTCTCCCTCCATTAAGTTTAAAAAATAATAATAATAACACTGAAAACAGTGACCAGTTGTGATCACAAACCATGTTTCAAGACTCAACATTTATTATGCCTCAGAGAAGTGCATGATAAACTTTCGGCCTTTATGACTGAAACCACTTTGTCTGATTTATATGCATGTGAAGTGAAAGTTGAAAATTGGGAGATGAAATATCACCTTCAACTGGTCCCAAACATTTTTACTGGATTTATTAAACATTTAACCCACAGCCAAGGAGAAGTCATGGTTGCTTAGGCCTAAAAAAATTACGTCAAACAGGACAAAAAGGATAATAGTATGTGGTAAGCAAACTGTTCCTGATATCTGAACATTGCTTGGGTGGCAAACCTGTAAGGACCAACTTTCCAACATCATATTACTGCACATGATCCTGATGGTCGTCATACTGAATAGTATGCGTGGCTGTGCATAGACGGGAGGACATGGGAAAATAGTGTAATTTCCAAGGAACATAACCCAGACAGCATCATCTTATTAGCCTTGTCCCCAACTATTTAGTGCTAGCCTTAAGAATTCTCATTCTCCATTCTTTTCTATTGAATGTTGCTAAAGATATTCAACTTATTTTTTATAAATCTTATGGCATAATTATTATCAATGCTATCTCTTAGGCAAAGGCTGCATTAAAAATTAGTTTATCTAAGAAAAAACCTTGATTCCATTGTTACCAGAGAATTATGGCATCACGAGCATAACATGGCTAAATTTAAGAGTAATATGGTACATGATTTTAGAAGTAAACCTTCTTTCCATAAGCAGGTAGGTATCATTGTATCGACACAAGAAATAAGTTGTCATTATGACATGCCAGTTTAATTATTATGTAAACATATTCTACAACTGCATGAGTGCATCAAGAAAATGGCTAGGTAAAGGAATCTGCCTCAGAATGAGGATCAATGTGATCTGATATCGATGCTAGTAATTATGAATGGAATTCATAGCAATGATACTTCTATGCTAAAAATACTAGTACTCAAGGCATATGGAATGACCATATTAGCCAACCATATTTTAAAAGATTCTGGTGATCATAAATTGCAAGGGGAAAGGTTTAAAGCATGTTCTTAAAAAAATGAAGAAGTGTGAAAAAATAAATAGCTTTATTAATTCGAAGAAAATATAAAAGGCAATAAACAGCTTCATTCACCGTAAGATTGTTCAACAATACTGGAACTACAACTCATGTTGCTCAAGTCAAATAATAGACTAACCGGCAAGGTTAACAACACTAACAGTCCAGGTAATTAACTTTTAGAGGTGCATATGTGACTAAGGTTCACTAACTATTTGGTATGAACAACTTCTATGAGGTAACAAAGGCATAAAATCTTTCGTCTCAGTATTACCAAGGATTTGGTATACATAATGGAGATCGAACTATCTTTGCATTTGATATAGCAATATTTAGTTTCTCAGAATATCAATAGTTGGAAACACTAAAAACATCTTCATCCGCAGTACACGAGTTTTCCATTTGTTAGTGTGAATTCATCAAGAAGTTCAAACAGCAGGTTGCTTCAAGATATCTATATCAATCATATTTATCTCAAATAATACAGCTTTAAGAAGCCAATATCCATGGATATGGATATATAGTAAGATCATAGGTTTGAAGGCCTAAAAGAGAGGATAAAGACCAGTTCCATAGCATATTATAATTGTCAGTGAATAGCACAAATATTAGCAAAACTCAAGGTCCTTTTACACATTCAAAGAAATGTATATTTTTTTTCATAAACAAACAAAACAGTTCCACCAAAGACATCAAAAAATCTATGATATAGCAACACTTCTCCTTAAAGAGGTATGCAGAGTCCGACATGCATCAAACACGACACACCTCCGACATGTGTTGGACACATTGAACGTCTATCCAATTAAAAAAATATTAAAACTAAAATAGCACACGTGTCTAACACACATAAAACCTTTAAATATAATTTATTGTATCTCAGATTTTTATTTGATAAAAGAAATAAATACTAAATTTCTTATATCATCTTCAAAGCCCCAAATACCTTGCCCGCACTCAATGCCCCATTCTTTGAACATTCTCATTTTCATTTCTCTCTAGTAGGTTGCAATTAGGATTTCATAAACACTCGATGCCATCTCAATATCAATGTCGAATGTCATCACAACATCAATATTTCAAAAACCATCTAAACATCCAAGTTTTACATTGTATTGACATTGATGCTCAATGCTAGCAATTTCTACACCCACAATCACGCTCCTGTGTCATCTCAACGTCGCATCTTTATCCAAAGTTGTCTTAACATCGACGACCAACTTCATCTCGAGATTGACGATCAATATTGTCTTGACATCAATGCTCGATACTCATTACACAACAAAGATGCTTGACTGTAGAGTGTACTGTCGTCTCCCCTGTCAATACATAACACAACATCAACACTCGACTATCGACATCTTGAAATTAATCATTTTAAGTAAAATCCCAAGTTAAATGACTTATTATTTTTCAATTATTCGTAATATTTTGTTTATTCAATTTTATACACTTTTTTAAGACATAAAAATTATAATATCATATTCCACTCGTGTTTGTGTCATATATTTTTAATAATTGACTTGTCATGTGTCCTTGTTGTATTCATATATGTACATCATAGAAAAAGATATATACATGTTTATGATTGGGAAAATACTCAATTTAGTTACTGTACATATGATATGTGGAAGGCTATTAAAACCAAACACAAACTTCCATTGTTGGGTAATGAAGTGGATAACAACGCAAAGATACAAAAAAAGGCAACGAATTTCAATAAATAGAACATAACATTATACATTAGAGAAAAAATAGTTAAGCACAAGAAAAAACATATCTAAAGAAACAAATGCTTCATTGGATCTTACTTGACAGATTATCTCGGATGTGGGCACCAATAATCCGCTCGTTGTTCTCATCCTTAATTAATGATATAACTTCTGCATGGTTGAATACCGAAGCACCCAATAAAGCAGCAGTGCAAGCTAGTCCAACATTCAGGCGAGAATCATTCATTTGTCCATCGTAATAAACTACTGTCCCTTTGAGACTTCTATTATGGCCTTTTCTGGCCAGTGTAGGGAAAAGCTCAATTGACTCATCGGCAGAATAGTATCTGGACAAATGCAACATTCTTCTACCAGCAACAAGATCATACATTTTTAATCCAACCCAATAATACAGAGTCTCAAACCAATCAAAACAAGGTGTCATGCATGGCAAAGCATGGCATAAGTGAGGAGCGTTCTCAATAACTTGTTTTCTCTCCTTCAATGCATGGAAAACAAGCTTAAGCTGTCCATAATCAAGATTAAAGACAGCTTTTTCTAAGTATCTTACCCCTGTAAAAGCAGTTCAGTAAATCAGAGTAGAAAATAATTACATGTATAATAGTACATAACCAAAAAAAATCTAACAAAAATAGGTACAAGAGAATTGCCTCAGCATTCAATGCTCCAGAAAACTACTTTCTTAGGATAAGAAATGAAGATTGACAAATAAGTAGATAAATTCATAAGAAAAAAAGATTTCTTCTAATTAATGCAAAAATAAAGGGCCAAAAGGATGTAGCTTAAAATCCTGTATCTATCAAATAACCACTAAAAGCAAAAAATTTCAACATGACCGGTCATTCAACAAACAATTCAAACTTATGAGTTCTAAAGTCCCTCAATTTTGTTTTTCTCTATGCTTCACCTTATTGGCTGCTAAGGTAGGACATAAGCATAAATCTAAGAAAAACATTAGTTTATGGGTATTGACCACAAATCTCTCACCAGTATAGGAACCACAATACTCTCACCATGCAGCTAGAGTAAGCCCGTGCCCTAACCACAATTTTAAACTTCTTTTATCTGATGGTGTGGGCTCCGAAAATTCGGCCCCGGCCTCCACTCGCTTTTCTTATTCGGCGAGAGAGTTTTAACGAACTAAGTTCCGATGTAAATTTTGTTTGAATTCATAATGTCTGTCATGTAATGGTCTGTATTGATGACCCTCTTTTTTTCACTTACTTTTTGTCTTTAACACTGATATTGTCAGGTCCTAAGTTCTGGATGAGAAAACTGGAGGGATGCATTAGATAGTCGACAACCAACGTAAAACTTCTTGAATAATCATGACATTAATCCTTTAATACATTGTGTTAATACTAGAGCAATCCCTAGAAGCAACACGTTGAATAATCTTGAATAATCTTGACACTTGAACTAATTTTAATATGAGGCAATTGGCTAGAGAGAGAAAAGAAAATTTATAGAGAGAGAAAGCAAGTTTTTGGGCAACTTTAATCTATTTTTAGCTGATGATCCAATTCAGAAAGTTATCAGTTCGAGGTAGGTAAAGTTTTGCTTATCTCATTTTTAAAAAGTATAAGGATTTTAAAAATTTTCTAATTTAATTTATAATTACGTTAGCGAAAAAATTGGATAAATTAATATCTGCAAAATTCTCACAACGTAACTTTTTTATGTTATTGATACGACATTTAAATATTTAGGTATTTTTTAAAGAAATTTTTATCATGTAAATTGAAAAAAATAGGGATTTTGACAAATTAAAAAATCATTCTAATTCTCAAATAATATTTTAGTATGATTCAAGCTTCAAAAATAAGACTATAATAATCTCTGGTAATTTATTTACATTTTGAAATAATCCATTTCTACTTAGTAGTATATTCTACTAATTACTATTAAAGTATTTTGTTAAACTCTGAAATAAGTTTATTTAAATTTCATTCACTGCAATACAATAAATTATATGATTATCTACTTGAAATATGTGATTCTGAGGAGATCTGGTGTGCGTGGGAGAATTTCTATTCTAGTGCTATATGCATATTTTATTCTATCAATATATGCACATTATATTATGGTGCTATATGCACATTATATTATAGTGCCATATGCACATTCTATTCTAGTGATGGGCATTGGGAGTTATAAGGGTCTGTTTTTTGATATGTCATCACGGGAGTCATAAGGGTCATAATTCTCTAAATTCTATTCTAATGAGAAATATAACGATCTAAGGGAAATCTATTATTTTTTGTTTTGATATATGAAGTGCATATTTAGTTATTTTCAGTGAGGTATTTGCAAGTAATATCATGCTTAGTCATTTTAATTTCTTATGAACTTCTCTTAAATTCAATTAAATACATAATAAATTATTTATTTAAAAATTTAGATAAATAAGTGTGACCTGTTGAGCTATGTTGACTCACAATTTATCTACATTCTGTTTCAGGGTCTGGGAAAGGGAAAGAGCTAGTTGAGTAGCAGATTCAGGATTCGATTAGTCTGAGTCTGTATAGGTATTTCTTTTCTGACTAGTTATGACTAGTTATTTAAATTGCTCTATATGCATTTTGAGGAGAAAAGAAAAGAAATTTTTGTGGATAATTTATTTTTTATATATTGTGAATTATTAGCAGCTTTGTAGTCCATTCTTTGTTTTAAGTTTAATCGAAAGAAAAAAAATCTAAATTTTTTTCCAAACTCAAATCTTGGTTTGGCATGTCGCAAGCTATGATGCACCGACACGTCTCCTCAAAGAGGCGTGTAGTGTCCGACACCGTATCCTTCGACACTCCTCCGACACTTGTGGGACATGCCGAAAACCTGTCCGATTAAAAAATATTAAATATAAATTGGACACGCGTGTCCGACACGCATATCGATGCCTGACTCTCGACATCCTAATACTAATCACTTTAAGCACAAAATCTAGTTAAATGGCTTATTATTTTTAAATTATTTTTTAAATTATACTTATTTAATTTTTATACACTATTTTTTAAATATAAAAACTATAATACCGTGTCCAACCCGTGTCCGTGTCCTATATTTTCAATAATTGACGTATCCCGTGTCCGTGTCATGTCGTATCCGTGTCGTCGTGTCCGTGTCTGTGCATCATAGGTCGCAAGTCAACATGATATGGCATGTTCCATCTATAGGTTTTATCTGGTTAGATTGTGACACTATGGGTTTAGAGCAACAAACAAAGGTGGTAGGACCTTATTAAATTTTGTTGCAACTTATGATTTCATAATTACTAATATCTTATTTAAGAAAATATAAGAGTGACTCATTACTTATAAGAATAGATATAGTAAAACTCATATTGATTATTCTTTTATAAAAAAATAGATTATTTAAATTGCAAAGATTATAAAGTTATTCCAAGTGAAAGTTTATTTACTTAGTATCATTTATTAGTTTTAGACTTTAAGATGAGCGAGAGAAATGTGAAAAATAAAATAAAATGTTATTCTAGGATTAGATAAGGGCACTCAAAGAACATTAACAAAAATATTTTTTTAGGGCATGATTCAATATCTTAAGATTTTGACAGTGCATGAAGAAGCTAATGTTATGTATGAAAAAATGGCTAATGATATTAAGAATCTTGCAAAAAATATGCTTGGACCATGAAAAGGAAAAGTTTCTAGAGTAAAAAGTGTTGGTGGAATCAAAATATACAAGAAAAGATAAAAATAAAAAGCTTTATTATAAAAATTGGTTTAAGTGTAAAAGCTCAAAAAATTGTGAAAGAAATAAAGAGGTTCATAAGGAGTTTAAGAAAGCAATATGCGATGTAAAGAATTTAGTTTTTAATAATTTATAGAATATATTATAGATTGAGAACAAAAGATATATGTATAAGTTAGTCAAGCAAAGAGATAGGAGAAGTAAGAATTTAGTTCATGTAAAATGCATTAAAGATGAAGACTAAAAAGTTCTTTTATTAGAAGATGATATTCAACAAAGGTGGATGAGATATTTTGGCAAATTTTTCAATGAAGATTGTGAGAATAAGATTGGCTTTAGTAACCTTAGCATCCTTAATAAAAATAGAGATTTTTTATTTTTATAAGTGTATTAGTAAAACCAATGTTAGAGAGACTTTAAAGAAAATGAAGCATGAAAAAATTATTCGACCTAATGATATTCCAATAGAGGTATAGAAATGTTAGGAGATAAAAGAATTTCTTGCCTTACAAAACTTTTCAATATTATTTTGAAGACTAAAAAGATGCAATATCGGTGAAGGAGTGTATTGATTTCCATTTTTAAGAATATAGATGATGCACAAGAGTGTGTGAATCATAAAGAAAAAGTTAATGTGTCATATTTTAAAACTATGGAAAAGAATTATTGAGCATAGGTTATGACATGATACTAATATTTTTCAAAATCGGTTCGGATTCATGCCAGGTATGCCTACTATGGAAGTTATACATTTATTGAGAGGTTTGATGGAGAAGTATGGAGAGAATAAGGAGGATCTATATATGATATTTATTGAATTAGATAAAACACATGATAAAGTTTCAAGAGAAGTGCTCTAGAGATTCTAAAAAAGAAAGGGGTTAATAATGTTTATATTCAAGTCATTAAGGATATGTATGAAGAAGTTGTTACTTGTGTTCAAACATAAGGTGCTTTGACAAAGTATAAGCCCATATCATTTTGCTTTAGTCATGGATGTTCTTACTAGACATTTGCCAGAGGCTGTACAATGGTGTATGATTTTGCTGATGATATTCTTCTTGTTGATAAGATTAGTGAGGGAGTTGAAGGTAAACTTGAATTATGGAGGTCAACTCTAGAGTATAAAGGTTTTCATTTGAGTAGATCTAAAACCAAATACATTAGGTGTAATTTTAGTAGCAAAATATCTACAAGGGGGATTGTGACTTTGGGCAATCAAGTCATCAATAAGAGTACACTTTTTTAGATATCTTGAGTCTATTGTTCAAAGTGATGGTGAAATAGATGGAGATATTATTAGTAGAATTCAAGTGGGATGGTTGAAGTGAATGAATGCATTGAGTCTACTGTGTGATAGAAAAGTTCAACTAAAACTTAAGGGAAAATTCTATAAGATGGTGATAAGACCTGCAATGCTTTATGATGCATAATGTTGGCCATCAAAAGAGAAGCATAATATTAAGTTAAGTGTTACAGAGATGAGTATGGTCAGGTGGACGAGTGACTTCACTTTAGAGATAGAATGTGAAACGAGTATATATGTGAAAAGGTTGGAATAGCTCCAGTAATAGATAAGATTAGAGAACCTTAGATGGTTTTGTCATATAAAACGTCGACCTTCTGATGACACGATTAGGAGAGTAGATGTATTAGATTTGGCCTATGTTAAGAAAGGTAGAGGTAGACCTAAAAAGATTTGTTTAAAAAAAATTAGAAATGATATTTTTATTAGATTTAAATGAGAATTTGACTCTTAACAAGATACACTGGAGAAAAGAGATTCATGTAACCGACCTCACAGTGAGATAAAGGCTTGATGTTGTTGTTGTTGTTGTTGTTGTTACTTTATGACATGTCTAAATTCAATTTACCCTTTCAGCACTCTTTCTATATTATGCTCTTTGTTTTTATCATCCCTTGTAGTGCAGGGAAATACACCTAGTCTCTTGAATAAATGAACAAAAAACTTCATGAAAAGTCAATCTATAGGATAATAAGCAAATCCATTTACATTTTGTTATTTCAATTATGCATCACATCACCCGATCTATACAACCACAAGCTTTCTTACAAGGGTGTCAATTTTGTTCAACAATGTCCAGGAAAAAATAAAGGAGTGCTATCACCACAATGAAAAAAAAAAAACGAGCCACTATAATGAAAGGTTGGGTCCTCAGATTTTTATTGGCACATTCATCTTTTAACATTTTATCATAATTTCAAAAACAAGATAAATCATTCTGGAAATTACTAGAATGTCATGTACACTTAAGCAATCTAAATGTTAGTTTCCACCTTAATTGTATCGCTCATAATATCAGACAAATATAAATATATATTATACTTCGCAACCCAACAATGCTAAATAACCTCTACAAAACGAAAAGATTCCAACTATAATCATCATAACCTATCCACTCTTCTCGGCATCACATTTAACGAAAATATAAAAAATAAAATTAAAAAATTCGAGATTAGAGAGCTGAAATAGCTTCTCGACATTTCCCCATGGCATACTCCACAAGAATAAAGAATCAATCATGAAAACTATAGAAGAGATTCGAAAATTGTCTCACCTCCATGAATAAGCTTGGTGGAGCGCGATGAGGTTCCCGACGAGAAATCCTCCCTCTCGACGAGGCCTACTCGCAGGCCGCGTGATACGGCATCGAGAGCCACGCCGCAGCCGGTGGCGCCGCCACCGATCACAAGGACGTCGAGAGGGCTAGCCGCGGAAGCACCCATCAACGCAGCCGCTTGGACCTCCCTGGAAGGTACGATGGCTGCCGGATCGGTTGTCCGCCGCCGCGCGCTTTCCAACGCAGCGGTCGCCCCGCGGTCACTTGCGGAAACCGGCGAAGACAGGAGGGTCACCGCCGTGTAAGACATTCCCGTCGCCGCCATGACCGCTCCAAGAGTCCTCAATTTCGACGCCGCCATGATCGGTGGCGAGTTTTTTTCCGCCTTTCCTTCTGGCTTCTTTTGCCTTCCGCTCCTTTTCTCCGCCTCCGATTCAGTGCTGCGACAGAATCGGAACAATGTCCGCTGTGTTGCTGTTTGCGTTTTGGTTTATAGCATATTATATACCTTTGGATTACAGTCACGAATAGGTATTAATTTGTTTATTTTTAGATTGAATTACAAACGTTCAAGATGAAAGAATTTTCAATTTATTGTATTTAGTTTGAAATAATTATAATATAAATAATTAATTACTTATTATAATTATATTTATTTTAGTATAGATCTAGAATTTTAAATTTCTTTGAAAAAAATTTAATTAGACGATTGTAACTTATGAAAATTTACGTACATAATACTTCGAAGTTAGAACTATCTTATTTACACATATATTACATAAAATTTACTATTTATTTAATATAACACTCCATTAACTTCCATTCATTTTCTTAACAAAGCTCTTAACCTCCTATATAAGTTTGGTCTTTTCAACTCATCTTTAAATTATATTTTCAAGATGTAAACCTTTATTTGAAACTTTTAATTTAAAATTTCATTTGATTTGGAAAGATTGCTCACAACAAAAATCCTCATAAGGCATTATAAACACATATTTGAATGTGCCTTCTTATCTTGGTCATGTGTATTATACATTTTGTACTTACATCAAACATGTACAAGGGTCATTTGGTTAATGCACCTACACCTTAATCTCTAACTTGATTAATTTAATTTTAACTTAATATACTTTGATTGAGATTAATTTATATATTTTAATATCTACAGTTCACTTCATGAACACATTGAGTATCTTACCATTATTGAAGATATGAGCAGTAGAGGAGTACACCTTTTAGGATGACTTATAGAACATTATGGGATACTTAACCCTAGATGCTCTATAGGTTTCTATAACACTAACTCCGTAGCATTTATATTAAACCATTTTTAAAGGCCATCTAGTCCTGCCATTTTGCATCACTAGTATATATAAATCAACTCATTAATATATTTATTTGACTTGAATGATGGTTATGTGGCATTCTTTTAGTTACACTTTCCTGTGAACTTATTCTAACTACTTTGCTAAGTTTATCCTTGGTGTGATCATGTGCTTATTATACTTTTTACTCTGCTCAAACACACTGTATTGGCTAAGAATTTTCATAGAATAGCCATACCACATTTGGTTGAGTTTACTTTTAGTATAGTCATGTACTTATGACTATACTGCTTAATCTTCTAAGTCATGCTCTTTTTACTGAGAAACTCCCTAGATTGGGCATGATTTTTAGGCTATGTTATCCTCAGTGCAATTATTCCATTTTGATTATTCTATCTTGATCTAATCATACCTTTTTGGACGTATTTACCATTTAATTTGTTCAAATGCTTTTGATTAAATCTTTCTCATTATTGCCATCCTTTTGGTAAGAGAATCCTCAATTTAGTATTGTATTTTTGTGACATTACTCATTAAAGTTAATCATCATATGCCCTTTTAGATAAACCAAATTCTAGTATAATCATGCTCTTTTGATTCTACTATCCATATGAGTGGCCTTATTTACAAAAAAAAAAATTTAGGACTTAATCATACCACATTTAGTTAAGTCACGACTAGACTTAGTCATGTTAACTAAGTCATTTCATTGTTCAATCATACTTTATAGCTGAACACCATTTAAATTTTGGTATATACTTGTACTTATACAACTCCTCTTCTAGGTAGATTATCTCTACTTGGACTTACCCTCTACATTAGGTATTTGGAGCTCTTTTTAAATTTCTAGAATCATTTTTCTATCTTTTAAGATTTTATATCACTCTGAAACATTTGAATATTTATCTTGACAGTTCATGGTTTCAATTATCTCCCTCAAATTGATCGCATTTACATGTACATGAGGTGAGTTAGCATTTGACAGGTAATTCAAACCATTTTAGTTATTTGACTTAACTTGTGGTTAAGATAGCTTGACTACCATTACTAAATAATAGTTTATTTAATAATTATAGTCATTTTATCATAATCATACCTCATATAACTGTTCAAGGAATACAAATTTCCATGGATCACAAGTCACCTTAATGTTTTTAAAATTAATAAAAAATGATATTTAAGATTTCAATGAATTAAGTTATAGTTCTTAATTTAGTTCGATCTCTTTAGATGACCTAACATAGTATAGCTCACTATACTCATATGAATGGAGCCTTAATAAATTGACACTTTTGCCCATCATAGATGTTGATATAGTCTACAATACCTTAGTCACTTGACATAGTGAGGATATAGCTAAAAATTCCTTTACACCACAATGACTCTATGGGTTGGGTTGCTTGTTAGCAAGAATACTTGTGGCTTATACTTGATTATTTAGCAAGAAACCATGCATCAAATATTCTCTTATATAGGTGCTAGTTGTATGACTATTTCTCTTTATTATTTTATATATATATATGAGTCATGCATCAAGTATTTAAAATACCAAATGAATATATATATGTTAAAATACATTTATTTGATTTTTATTTTTGGTACTTTGTGTTTTCCTATGATGGTTCCATTCAGTACTATGTTTTATTGCTTTTTCTATATTGGGATAATTGTGTATGTACAATAAGGTGTAAATAATGTTTCCTAATCAAATGCATATCTACATTCAAGTGTTCCTTTTCCAACACATGATGAACAATTATCCTTTGAAAAAGTGAGAAGAACCAAAAGTTGAGAGATCATCAATGCATATACCTTATTGTAAAGATAAATTTTTATAGGTCGAGATGATTGGGCGTGTATTTAAAATCTTGACTTCTTTTTTTTTTTATTTAAGGGAATGTGTAAGTCAGTCTATAAAGCTGTAATGTCCTGCTTCTTATTCTTCTATAAACATCACAACACACTATTTTATTTACTCTAGGAGTTCTATATAGTTTTTTAATATGTTATTTTTGCTTTATTATTACTAGTGTTGACCTAGGCAATAGATGACATTGCGAAGGACTCTTAGAATAAAATATCTTGTGCCAATTTTAATAAATTAATACATAATTATAATTGAATGAAAAAGATTTTTTTTTTTTAAGAAATTAAAGGCTCTCTCAAGAGACCTTTTAAATAAATATTTTCTCTCTTCATGTCTCCTGAATGAGACACAAGATTGAGCCATCCAACATTCAAAACTCCCAAGAAAATGTGTATATTTATAACATAGCCAGTTGAACATGCATAATAGGGGAGCTTCCCAAACTTAATGATATATAGCTTTGCATTACGTACCTTAATTCTTAAAATAGAATCTTTCTATGTAGCATGAATTTTTAATACTCCTAGGGGTTATTTTAGCATGCTAAGCAATGACACTCCTAACCCAAATAGGATTATAATTCTAATTGAGTAACTCTTGTTGCATATAACCAAGCTATTTCATTTATTTTTTTGTAGGCCTTTCTCAATACTATTAGAGGTCCTACATCTTACTAGATCAATCTCTTAGAATTCATATATCTTGGAATTCTGATTTTTCTTTTTTGGTTTGAGATCATAAGGCAAACTTTGGATAATATATTTTATAGTTACTGACAGGGTGTCTCAAAGGGATTAAAAAATTACTTAGATAAAAAACTTCAAATTTAATAGCCTGGGGTTGACAAACCCATCAAGTCATGACCATGATTATTTCTTTGTTTTTCTAGACTTTTTAATCCTTAATCATTTACCTTTTTTATCCCATTGTACTCTTTGATTGTGTTTTAGGTGATTTAATGACTCTAACTATATAAACTTTTTATGTGAAGAGACCACGGTGAATCATCCTCAACTTTGTAAGTTGGTCTATCTTAAAGCATATCTTATATTATCAATCAACATACTTTTAATCATATTCTTTCCTTTGATGGATAACATAAATAAGGGCATCTTTTACTTGTCAAGAGTTTCTATTGAAGGTGTCCTCGAGAATAATTAACCATAGGGAGCCTAGTTCTTTTGGGAGATCGAGTAACTCGTATTCTCTTGATTTGAATTGATTTAATTTCAATGATATGACTTCTTATGAGTACTTTGTATGAATTTAGATAAAATTCAGTGGTCTTACTATATTGGGCCTCTTTTCTATTCTCTTATGGAATTAATCTCCTATAAGAGAAGAAAACACTCATATTGTCACTATTTTCCCCCAAAATAAATATTTGTTAATCCTAACTTGCTATAACTCTTTTATTATCTCTTTTCATGATGTCTCTTACACAAGAATAAGACCATCATATTATCACTCTTTTTTCTTTAACAACAAAATATATATCATTTTTCCTTCCCAGTGGTACATGCAGAGATACTCTATAGTTATTTTAAATCATAGAAGCAATATTTAGATATTTAGAATTTAGTTATGTTAATTAACACTCATCATGTTTCCATTCCTCAAAAGGAATATTTATATGTTTTCTAATTTCAATTTTAAAAAGAGGCGCATATCCTACTTGAACTAAGTTTCACATAAAAAATCAGACATTTCTACAAATGTTACCATAAGAAATTTCTAAGATTCTAATAGAATGTTGCTGAATAATGACATTGAAGTAATCAAACACCCTTATATGGTGTTTCATTTTTTTGAATGTGTGATGTGGCTCTACTAATTAACATGTACAACACAGGTACCCCTTGATCTTAAAAAGAAGAATTAAAATGAAAACTTATAATATATATATATATATATATATATATATATATATATAATTTCAAATGTAAAAAGAAAATTCTTAATTTTTCTTTTCAATAACAAATAAAATATTTGAATAATCAAACTTACTATAATGCAAGAGTTTGGACAAGATAATTTCTTTTATTTTTTTTTTTCAACAGTTAACAAAAAATATGCTTCCACAATCATGATAAAACAAATATACCATTCCAATTATCTTCTAACACATGTAAGATTGATGTCATAATATTCTTCATTATATCACAAAGTGGCAAGAACATGTAAAAATAAAAATAATGTTATAGTAGAGTAAAATAGAAAAAGAGTTCCAAATCAATTTATCATGGTTAAGTATTAAAGCCAATGTTTGTATATCGAATTCAACACAATTCATT